TTCTCTAAGGGAGCTATGTTATTCCACCCAGTCTTCAACTTCAGAGACAGCAAGGGTAAGAACAGCTCCAATGTCATTTACCAAGTTCAGATAAAATTGGCAATTTCACTGAAAGTCAGAAAACAAAACAGATTCATGTAAAGTACAGCTTTATATGTATCAAAAAGGCTCTTTCACAACTGTCTTTCAGATGTGCTAAAGGCAGCTGTTTCACTGTCAAGTTAATTCAATAAGCAAAGGGAACGTAATTCATTTGGTGTGTACTGTTTGCTAATCAAAGAATATTTCTTGGCATGTAAACTGTGCATAACAGAATGTTAAGCCTGAAAACATATTGCTAGTCCTCAATTTATCAGCTCCAAGAAACAGAACGTACAATCATGTGAACAATTCTTTTCATTAAACCACTGACCCCCAAGGCCCTGCCCCTGCCCTGTCTCTTCTTCCCCAGACACCACCCTCTGCTCCGCCTATTCCCCCAAGGCCCTGCCCCCATCACTTACTCCTCTCCCCCCGTCACTCGCTGGATCATCTCAAGGAGCCTGCCTGCAGACAGGAGGTGTCCCTGGCCGAGCAGGGGCTGGCACTGGTTAATGACTCGGCACCTCCCGCCACACCACGGTAACCGGGCTTTTGGTTGGGTGCCATTTAGGGTTACCAGGTCCCCGAAAACTGGGCACCTGGGAACTCTAAATGGCACCTGGACACAGAAGCCAAAAACTGGACTGTCTAGGTAAAAATGAGATGGGTGGCACCCTACACTCGCTGCAAGCACGGAAAGTCTCTATGATTTGCTGCACCTATCCCACTATTCTCAGCACACGCCGTGGAGCAGGTGCACGCAGGAGATGGTATACACTGTATCTTCTGTTCACAGTGCAGATGCCAAGGCAAAAGGGCACCAGACTCACCTTCTGAGTAGACCATTACTGAACTGACTCCAGACCTAGATGCTTGAGGGCAATTGTAGGAGCACTGCTACTCTTGGGTGGGGGTGATGCACCAGGAAACTAGGAGCTGGATTTAATTATTGTCATTCACTTATTCCAATTTTTTTAAGCTCAATATTTTTTCCTATTCTTGTTTTAATACTCTTTGTTTTGCAGTTAAATGACTGCTCTCTTTTCTCTTGTGTTTCCCTGTGGGAGACAGAGATTAAAGTGGTCTGGGTGTGCAATGGCAGGGATGATATCCCTGCCAGCTCCTCCATGGTGCCCAGTTGGCAACCCCTGCCCCAATCCTTCACATCATGCAGTGGGGCTCAGAGGATGGACTGGTTCTTGGTGGGATGAGTGGTGCCTGGTGTAGCGGGGAGCTAAATGGATCTACTAGGGGATAGGGGGAAAGGGATCGTGTGCTGCGTATCCTTTAACTCATGACCCCTTTGTTTTCCAGATCTCAGGAGTGTGGAAGATGCTGTGAGGCAGCATTTAAGCCCAGTAAATAAGTACGTGTGTGCATGCACCCTAGGTTAGCGGTCTGCTATCCTTTGATGTTAGTGCTTTGCAGATAAATCCTCATAGGACCAAACAAACAAAGTTTACAAAGTTTTACCTGCCTTAAATAATAAAGTTTTATTTTCCAACCTGTCTTTACTGCTTTGGAAGATTGAGGTGGGGATGGAGAGAGAGAAGTGGACAACTGTTGAGGAGGGACAGAGCCAAGCAGATACCAGACATGTCTGTCTCAGGTTGTTCCAGACCTGTCCTGAATGGGGGATGTGCACTTCTAAGACTAGCTGAGTAGTCAATGGCTCTTGGGCCTACAAGCAGCCAGTAGGTAAGTGGCTTGACAGATGGCAGAACGGTCTGAGCTAACAAAGCAGTCACTGAAGCGTGGGCAGGAGCACCGTGGGATTACACTGGGATGACAAATTGCACCGTTGTTGCTGCTAGGCCAGTGTTTGCTCTCTGCACTGGCACTGCAATAGTACAGAGTCATATGGTGGTGGATAAATACCATGCTTAGCCTTGTCCAGAGCAAGCACAAGCACAGTGGTGGTGTGAATAATTATGCGCAGCTGCAAGCTCTTTTGTGGGTGCTACATGACGGTGATACAAGTGTGCTGGATGTTGTGTTACTGTTGGCAATGCCAAAATGCTCCAGCATCAACAAGGAGATGCTTCAGTGCTTAACTACCAATCAGGCATATTACAGCTTCTATTAGTATCCAGCAAAGAATGTCTGTGTGCGTGCATGCACATGCGTTCTGTTTTTACTATATAAATTAACAAGTACTGTATAACATAGAAAACACATAGTAGCTGTCTACTCTGCCCTTTTCTGAGTGGCTACATAGTTCAGATTATGGTGTGGTATGTAAAGTTTTCCCAGTTAATTAGAATGTGCCTTACTGCATCGGGATAATGAGCGTTGCATACATGCATGACATGCAGTACGGATTGCATGCTTATCAACTAGTAAAATCTGAATGCAAAGATGGTGAGAAGAGTTCTATACTTAGTAGTATTGTTTTGCTTCTTTGGATTGCTCATCTATCTATTTTTGAACAGGATCACAGTCACATGGGCTACAGCTTTGGAATATTTGATCTTCACTTTCAAAGCAGTCATCACAGTGAGTTCAGTGCTATTAACTGTGTAGATCTCACATACGCTCCCATCGGCTGTATCCTGCTGTGTAGTATTTTTGCATAACTAATGAAATTTCATCATTCCTGGCAGGCAATATGTCATAGTTCTGAAACATATTGAACGTTTGTTTCTCTTGCAGTTGTTACAAGAGGGATTGGGGGAATAAATCTTTCAGACCAGTTTGGATCCACATTTGCTGCTTGTGGGAAAATCTCAATTATGGTTCTGAAAGCCATGATCACCAGATATTCCTGCTGTATTACTTTTTGACATTTCAAATATGTTAATTAGTGATAGGTTCAAGTTCCATGCAGAAACGAGATGCTGAGAACATAGAGATTCAGATTATACAAATCTCAACCACTCATTAAAATCTGGACTCCATTCATGCCTTATTTTCTTTCAAACAGCTACAAAAAAGACCATTCTGAGCAGAAGGAAACAAAAACAGATTCTTGCGGTCCCCCCCACCATGGCACTGCAATTTTAAAAAGCATCATTCCAGTAATGAGTGAGAGACTGGTGGTTTGTCACTTGTGCTACTGAAGGTTCAACAGTAAAAGCCTCTGACAAAGCAAAGGAAAGAAATAGGGGTGCTTTCTAGATGCACAGTAAAGGCACGTCTACACTATGATAAAAGACCCGCTGCACAGCCGCAGCTGGCCTGGGTCAACGGACTTGGGCTTATGCAGCTCAGGCTGTGCGGCTATAAAGTTGCAATGTAGAAGTGCAGGCTCTGAGATCCAGCCAGTGGGGAGGGGCTCAGAGCCTGGGCTCCATTGCAAGACTTTTAGCTCTACAAGACCAAGCCCTGTGAGCTCATGTCACCTGACCCAGGCTCTGAGACTCAGTGCCACAGGTCTTTTTATCGCAGCATAGATGTATCCTCAGAGACATTCCCTTCCCCAAGGAGCGGATAGATTTTATATAGGTGAAGCATGTAGCAATATCTGTGGGTCAGGTTGCACAAGCATTTCTGTTCTGAAGTCATTTTCAATTACTTACATCATTTTTTGCTGTCATATCATTTTGGCTGAAGTTTAACCTTGTTTTTTCCAGCCTGAATTTGTTTGGGAAAGCTGTCATAAAAACAGTTCAGCCCCTTTCAACTAGGAGGGAGTGTTTGGGGGTGTGCATCACAATTATTTGGGAAAAGCGGTTTCATCCTTTGCCATTCATCATATGGAAGGAGACAGTATTCCCTCTGGACCTTTCCAACATAATCGCATCTTTGCAAAGAGAACAAAACATTACCAGACTATTGTTCCTCATTATAACTGTTTTGTTTTGCAATGCTCTTGTGCCTTAGGGTATATCTGCACTGCAACTGGAAGTGGGACTGCAGCACCTATGGATCAAAGCTAGCCTAGATACCAAGAGCCACGAAGCCACAACAGCATGGATTTCAGGATGGGCTGAGTAAGTACCCAGGGTCCCGGGTAGGTACATACTCAAGTGGTGAGCCCTTCCTGATATCTGTGCTGCCACAGCTTCATCACTATTGGTACATGAGCTAGGTAGATTATAGCTAGTTCCAGTATGTCGACACATGATGCAATCACACTTCTGATTCCAGTGTAGACATGCCATAATGGTAGTGTGGTGGTCACCTGAAATTTGGCAGGCACATAGTCACAGAGAGGTGCCTTTAGGTGATTTGGTGAAAATTGGTTGTGATTTGTCCAGTCACAAACGTTTAAATAATTATATTTCTTATATGCACACTGATTTTTATAATGTAACAGCTAATAACCTGTCAACCTTCTGTTCACTTTGTGCATGCATTAGATCCACAGGGAATCTTACATCTTTATATATGATGAATGCCTGAGTGTTTGGGAAGGAAATAGACTCTAAAGAGTCCACCCACATTTGATATGATGTGTGAAGTTAAATAAAGAAGGATGCATGGCTCCGTCCTATGTCTGTCCACTGGGTGTATGAAGGTTTGTAAGGAAGAAAATTTTGCACTGTCCGGCTTTGTTAGAGACACTAATTGATATCTCTTTCTCCTGTACCTGGAACTAGTGCCGAGAGCCAATAACTAAACCCAGGTTGGGTTCAGTTATTGCATAGATTTGCCCACATCTAAAAAGCACATTTTCTGAATAAATATTTGCAGTGTTAAAAGGTAAGAAACAAAATGTGGGGAAAAAAGTATCCAGAAAGAATCAGGACTTTGTTTACGCTTCAGTGCGAATTCTCTTTCCAGGTAAAAGCACTCATCTTTCATTGTTGTTTCCTTTAAATGCTTGAAGATCACCTTTGAACTTTGACTCTAACCCATCATAGCAGAGAAAAAAGAAATGCATCTGCTAAATCTTCCATAATAGGAGCGATAAAAACAGAGTTAATGACACATAGAACACAATCAATCTGAACACACAGTGCCTTCCAGACACTTACCTTTCTGTGATTGTTTCTCTGAGTCCACTAGTAACACCCTTAACCACAGTACTAGCTTTGGGGGTCAGCACCACTTGAGATATAAAAAAGGAGCCCTTCTTTCTTCTCTCAATGATTGATGCCTGAAGAAACTGAATCAGTTTTTCTGGGTCTGTTGTGTTTGCCCAAGGAGCTGGCATCATCTGCCCTGGCCAAAGAAATGGTACCTCAAGAGCGACTGGACTGTGATAAAATACCAACACTTGGTAATCCTTCTCCCACAGGTACTGGAGACTTACTTCTTGGGCAAATATAGCAGGGCACATTTTATTTCCAAAGGTGCCTTTGAGCATTTGGACCAGGTTCTCATGATGATATTTCTGCATCCCATAGAAATGATTGAAGTCCAAGAAGACCACTTCCTTATGGTGGTCAGTCAGAAATGCATTGATCTCTTCAAGGCCCTCATTGACTTTGGCACTGAATAAACCATGAGCAAAGTAAAGTTCATTGTCAGGATCTCTGGGTTTGGTGGAAATTCTGAGATCAAAATATCGTATACCTGCACCCAGCTGGCTAGTAAAGTTCATCGTCTGTGTTGCCAACCACTTTCTCATCAACTTTTTAGCCACAGTCCCAAATACGGAGACAAAATTCTGGACAGTTTCTGGTTGTTCAGGTCCAACTGGAGAGGCTTCGTCGATGTAGAAGCTAAAGGAGTCGTGAGACCCTACAAATATAACAAAGAAAAACCAATGTTGCATTCATACACAAAGTTATAAATACTCCTCTTTCAGGATAATCTAATTTTCTGGTCAGCACACAGATACTCTAAAATTGGCCTTTTCCTACCAACCCTCCCACCCCCATCCCACCCCATACATTATTTTCATGGAATCAATATTCACATGTGTTGAAAGTGAATGAATTTAGGGGAGCTAAATGAAATGTGTATTACTTTCATTAGTACCCCTTACTTATGCCCTTAGTACTACTGAAGTCAATGGGCCTGATTATTAGTGTAAGTCAGGAGTAACTCCACAAGTCAGTCAACTTGCAGAAGTGTGTAATACCTATGTAAATGAGGAGAGAATTAGGCCCAATCAGTATGTTCACATGACTAATGGTTAGCTGGATCAGAACCTTTGTGATGAGCAAAAATACATATCCTTGAAATTTTACAAAAGCAAAAGTTTTCAATAGCCCTTAAATATCAGGGGATAGCCGTGTTAGTCTGTATCTACAAAAACAACAAGGAGTCTGGTGGCACCTTAAAGACTAACAGATTTATTTGGGCATAAGCTTTCGTGGCACGAAAGCTTATGCCCAAATAAATCTCTTAATAGCCCTTAAGTGACTTAGGAGCACAGATACCATTTTCAAAAACACCTAAGTCCCACTGACTTTCAATCAGGATCCTAAACCAGTTATTTTTGAAAATTATATCCCAAATCTTTGCACTCATGGGAGAAACAGTGTAAGAATGATAGTTTAATAGTTATAGCTGATGCAGACTCTGTATTCCATTGCTTAGAATGAGGAGGTTCATTGTGTACTTTGAACAATGATGAATTGTAGTGTACCTTTTTGTGTGCTGAGGTTAACTGCATTGCACATTTTTTAAAATTTGTACTACCAAAAAAGGTCAACAACACCTCCACTTTGCACTGCACATTTTCCTTAGTTTCAAGGATTTGTCTTTATCTTGCAATATTCAGTTATTTTGTGTAGTTTGCAGCCACTTTGTATGAAAATTGCAACTACAGTTAAGGGTGTTAGCAATATCTAATAGGTTTTCTATAAGGGGACTATATCTTGCATTGCAAGGAGAAGCACGTGATCTAATAGGTCTTTTTCATCCTTAAGTACTGTCATGCAGTCTAAAGGGAAAGGTGACAGTCTACACTAATATGGTCACCACTGTTACAAAATTGTGAAATATTGTATAAAGTATGCCTTGTGAGGTATCATTGGAAAAGTTGTAATCTGCTAAATATGATCATCTTGTTACAATGTGTATATTGACGCTGTGTGTGGAGTTATGAAATTTTGCTCTGAGTTTGTAACTCAAACATGTTGTGGGTCTGAGAAACATCCACAGGCTAGCTCTTTAGAAATAATAAAGGAGGTGTAAACAAGGATGTCTGCATGTCATCCCTTAAGACCCCTCAGACAGCATGTAGGCAAAGGTGCAAACTAGAATCTGCAATTCAGATAAAGGACAGACGGCAGAGCACATGTGTCATGGAACTGCCTGACCTGTAACTAGGGTGACCAGACGTCCCGATTTTATCGGGACTGTCCCGATATTTGCTTCTTTGTCCCGCGTCCCGACCGATGTTTGGTCGGGACACTGGACAAACAAGAAATTTTGCCCTCCCGGAGGGACTCTTGCCCCCCCCCCCACACCCTGGCTCCGTCCCCTCCTTCCCCCATTGGCTCCCTCCCCAAATCCCCGCCCTGGCCCTGCCTCTTCCCCAACCACGCGGCATTCCTCCTCCCTCCCAGGCTTGCAGCTGCATGGCGGCGCAAGCCTGGAGGGAGGGAGGGGGGTGGTGAGTCAGCTCCGGCACCCGGGCACCGGACGGGCAAAGGGGGGCTGGCAAGGGAGGGAGGGAGACGGGGTGGCTCAGCTCTGAGCCCCCCGCCGTGCCAGAGGGCTCCTGCCAGGGGCAGCGTGGTGGGTCCGGGCGGGGGCAGCGCGGAGTGGGCAGGGACCGGGTGGGCGGCACGGGGGCGTGGGCCGAATCCCCGCTGCTGCTGGGGAGCCCCGCGCCTCTCCCTCCCGCTCGCGGCTGCAGCTCCTTCCCGGCAGGACGTGCCGCCCGCCCAGCGCCTCTCCCGCTCGGCTGCGCTCCAGCGGCTCCTTCCCAGCGGGAGGGAGACTAGGCGCGGGCGCCGCATGTGCCTGGAGCGGCGGGAGGCGCGTCCCGCTGGGAAGGAGTCGCAGCCACGAGCGGGGGTTCGGCCCGCTCCGACCACCTGGTCCCTGCTCCGCACCTTTTTTTTTTGCTCAGCCGGCCCCCCCGCGTCTCTGATCTGGTCACCCTACCTGTAACACAGCCAGGATTTTTTCCAGCCAAAAGGGTCAAGGTATAAAAAGGGGAAACAAAGGCCTCTGGCCACCTTCTTTCTGCCCCATCTCTGAACTGTTAATTCTGACAAGGGAAGTTTTGAACAAAAGGACTGAAGTCCCCAAAGCTCCTTGGGCAACCCAGAGAGACATATAGAAAACTAGATTTAACATTCCTGCTAACATTTTGGACCACATACTCGGATACAACTGAAATGTATTTTACCTGCCTTAACCTTTTCATAACGCTCATTTCTTTTCTTAGTTAATAAATCTTTAGTTAGTTTACTAAAGGATTGGCTACAATGTTGTTTTTGGTGTAAGGTCCTTAGGATCCATTGATTTGGGTGAGTGACTGGTGCCTTGGGGCTGGAAGAACCTAATATGTGGTGATTTTTAGTTTTAATAACCTTTCATCACAGAAGTCCAGTTTGTCCGAGTGGTAATATGGGCTGCTGGAGGGTCGAAAGGGACTGCTTGGGGCTCCATATTAAGCTAGTATAGTGATCCAGGAGCACACATTTGTTGCTGGTTTGGTTAAATCCTATTACAGAATAAAACACCAGTGTGGGAGCATCTGCCCAGTTTTTGTCAGTCTGACCTGAAATTGGCTCTCTCAGCTGTGATCCACACCAGGTACAGTAATAGGGTTGCCAGGTGTCCCATTTTTGACTAGAATGTCTGGTCGAAAAGGGACACTGGCGGCTCCAGTCAGCACCACAGTTAAAAGTCCAGTTGGCGGGGCTGGCAGGCTCCCTACCTGGCTCTGCATGGCTCCCGGAAGCCTTGATATGTCCCTCAGGCTCCTAGGCGGAGGAACGCCCAGGAGGGCTGCGCGCACACTGACCCCACCCTATGCGCCAACTCTGCTGCTCCCATTGGCCAGGGAGCTGCAGGGGCAGCACCTGTGGGTGGAGCTAATGGGAGCTGCAGGGGCGGCACCTGTGGGTGGAAGCAGTGTGCACCGCGCAGAGCCTCCTGGCTGCCCCTACACCTACCGAGATGTTGCCACTTCCAGGGAGCCCCCCAAGGTAAGCGCTGCCCAGAGCCTGCTCCCTGAACCCCCTCCCACATCCCAACCCCCTACCCCATCCCTGAGCCCCCTCCAGCACCCAAACTCCCTCCCAGAGCCCACTCCCCACACCCAAACCCCTACCCAGCCCGGAGCCCCCTCCTGCACCTTGAACCCCTCATTTCTCGCCCCTAGCCCAGAGCCCATACCCCCTCCCACATCTCAACCCCCTGCCTCAGCCTAGAACCCCCTCCCATACTCCAAACCCCTTGGCTCTACCCCCCAGCCTGAAGCCCCCTCCTGCATCCCAAATCCCTCAGACCCAGACCCACCCCAGAGCCCACACCCCATCCCCTGCCCCAGCCCAGAGCACCTTCCTGCACCCTGAACCCATTTCTGGGCCCACCCCGGAGCCTGCACCCCCAGCCAGAGCCCTCACCTCCTCCTGCATCCCAATCCCTTCCCAGCCCAGTGAAAATGAGTGAGTGAGTGAGGGAGGGTGGGGGAGAGCAGGGCTTTGGAGCTGTGCTCTGGCTTTGCTCCAGCTCCAGGCAAAAACCTGCAGCTCCACTGCTCCGGAGCTGCTCCGGGCTCCACTCCAAAGCCCTGGGGGAGTGACGGGGGGGGGGGGGGGGAAGGCACTGAGCAGGGCCTCAGAGAAGAAGCAGGGCATGGGCGAGGCAAGGGTGTTTGGTTTTGTGAGATTAGAAAATTGGCAACCCTATACGGTGACAACTACCATTAGCTTTTGGTTCTTCATCACAAAATGAACAAAAATTTACCCCTCTTTCCTACTATCATACTGCATCCCATTACCTTGCCTGGGATGGGTTTATGGAGCCCAAGCACAACAGGCAACTCTGTGGGTGCAATTCATCAGAGTGAAAAAAGCTTGTACCCAGACCTATCCTGCATTTTGTGCAAATCTCTTTGAAGTCAATGGGACTTTTGTACCTGGAATGGGCTGCAGCACCAGATTCATAAAGTTTCAGGCCAGAAGAGGCCACCAGATCAACTAGCCTGTAGTTGGACCTCCTTATATCACAGGCCACCAACTCCACCCAGTAACTGCACACTGGACCCAACAACTGAAATGAGACCAAAGTATTACAGCGCACAGAAGACTGGAGTTATGTGCCACAGACAGAGAATCAATCAGAGGGACCAAGGTGCACCAGTGCCTGAGGTCCCCACAATGGCAGGGAAAAGAATCAGTGAGATATACCCAGATAATCCCGGCAAGTGACCTGCAGCCATGCACTGGAGATGAAACTGAAAAATCCCCAAGGTCACTGCCAATCTGACCTAGGGGAAAATTCCTTCCTGACCCCGCACATGGTGATCAGTTAAATCCTGGACATGTGAGCAAGAACCAGCCAGCCAACCAACCACCTGAGAGAGAGAGAATTCTCAATGCTACCTCTGGACCTCCCCATCCAATGTCCCATCTCCAGCTGTGGCTATCTTTCATGTTTCAGAGGAAAGAGATACAAAACAAAACAAAACAAAAAACCCAGAAGGTATTGAGGAAGGGGACCTCTGTAGGTGGCCAGATGTAACCCTCAGGAGCTTTTAGGAACATAAAACTAGGCTCTAAGTAATTCAAATTCCTAGCATCAAGGGTGGGATTTTCATCAGCGCCAAA